CAGACGTGTGCTCTTCCGATCTCCCCAAAACCCCAAAACCCCAAAACCCCGAATGAAAATGTAAAGTTAATGGTAAAGGTGAATTATAATATATAAGAATTCGAATATGACAAAGTGATACGGGCGGAGAAACTAAGATGGACACGGGACTAATGCATATGAAGACGATTATATATTTAACGTTTACATGAATTAATTTTTCTTAATAATACTTGATCAACAAACTAGGCAATTTTGTTTTTACCTATCTTCTTGATTATGTGTGGGTTGCTGTCTCAATGACTTTCTAGTCTGTCTCACAATGACTGTGACGCCTATTCGATATGCCCTTGTTTCTCTTCCAACAACTATGGCACTAGCGCATTTGTTCTCTTTCTACCCATCGATCCTTAATAAGATGTCTTGGTTTGTACTGTTGTAGGATTCTTGTCTTGTCTTGTTGGTGTTGTTTTGTCTGTAGCTGTTGGTGTCTTCTTATTTTGCCCTGTTAGGTCTGTTGCATTAATTTGCTTCATCTGGATAGTCTTTCTGGACAGAGCTTATAAAAACTTGAATGCATTGAGTTTGTATGTGAGCTCGGCTTTGGCGTCTATCAGGTCCACATCCTTAAATGTGACTCTATAACACTTGTCACCAAACCTACCTACTCTGTAGTAGCCTTGTATTGCTTCTCTTTTATTCACAAATGATTTAGCTACTAATAATGAAATCAGGATTCCGTCAACAGATGATCTATAGTCAAGACCTCTCATAGAAGCTGCTGTGAGAGCCACCGCAACCCTGAATTTGTCATTTACTTTCAGGCCGATGGTTCTCAAGATCTGATGGTTCACGTTCTCATCAACCTCTACCAGCTCAAGATCAAGTTTCTTGAGCTCTTCATACAGTGAGGGAGTACAGTGAACAACAACAGGCCCAGTCCAAGAGAGCTTCTTAACTTCAGCAGCCTTTTCAGTGATAGGCATTGCTGGTAGTTCAAGGTCAAAATCGAACTTCACTATTCGCTCGAGAACATCAATCACATAGTAGAAGGTTGAGAATGTCATGGCTTTAAGGACTTATATATCTACACCTCTAGGATCTTGGTCATCTGGAGTGGCTGTGAAACAAACACATAAACACTTGGATATAAAGTCTCTGAATTTTTCAGGATCACTGTGCATGATAGCGTCTCCTTCATCAAATATTGCGAGTTCATTATCTCCGACTGATACACCATCAATTCCAATGCAATGTTGGACCTGATCCTTCTCGATAAAATCTAGATAAGTTGAGAATTCATCAGCATCTCAATCGCAGAGCTACTTTGAAGGGTAGAAGATATAGATCTTTGAGAATCCAAGCATCAATGCGAACACAGCTAGCGTATGCTCGATTCTACCTTTACCTTAGCCAGAAGGTACACACCACATTTATCTGTGATGAGTCTTGAGCAAACCGATACAGTACTGAGCCAGTGCGAATTGCTTATTATTGGGAGGATTCAACACAACTTTAGTAAAGAACTGGAAGCGGACATCCCCTGCAAGTGACAGATCAGCTGCAAGTTTAGGATCTGGTTTGCCATACATGGCGATGAACTCATTGAGCGACTTTTATATGGTATCACCATCAATAACTGTGGAGGAGGCATGCGCAAGCTCAATTTGTTCTTTCCACTTAGCCACTGGTATTTGCAAAAGGGTATCACGGATTGAATGTATAGCTGAAAATTGTGATTAAGTCTACAGCAGCCATAATAACTCATTGAGTGCACTAAAGTTAATCTTCATCTGTTTAGGGGATTTTTATAGAGTAGTAAGCAGCAATTGATAAGATTCATCAACATTCCTTATAAATGATGATATAACTTTAATGTACTTTTATACATCATCACCAACTTAAGAACAAAGGGAAATCATGAGTATGCTGTCTTCAACAGCAGAAGGGCAGTTCTTGAGTACCTTTAACAATAAAAACTAATCCTCGCCTATATAGTTCCAATATTTCGAACACCACATACCAATACACTCGCTGTAATGTTTAGCAACCTGCCACTTAAACTCTGATAGTGCTTCTGTTCTCAAAGAAACTTCCATTTGGTTCAGAGTTACAGTTGCTCTTACCCATGATGTGTGGCCTAAAGCAAACGAAGCACACAGAAGCCCCAAGACCTAAGCAGTACTAAGTGACCGCACACACTCCAAGACCTTATTTATGCATTCAACTACTTGCGCGTTAATACACTTAGAGAAGAAGTCAATTACTAAGTCTTTGTTAAACTTGCTGCATATATCCTGTATGACTGAAGCATTTATATAAACGCTTTCCGTATTTTTCTCGATGGCTTTAAGTTGCCTGATTATATCAACCTCTATGTGTTCTGGTTCTATTTCCGTCACGTTTACAGCAGTCTTCTGCCTCTTAGAACCTAGTTCCACAGACACACTGATACTATCATTATCACTACCACTGTCATTAAGTTGTTCTTAAGTAGTCCGCTTGGGAAGTTGATCTAAAACAGCTGACTTAAGACTTAACTTTTCGAGTCCTTTGACTGACCCTCTACAAGATTTCCCATCAAGGCAGTAAATGCACACCGATCGATCTTTGGCAGGGAATTTGTCGTAGCGTCTATCTTCACAACACTCATTGCATGTGTAGAATCTAACTGGAAGAGGCTTAGGTCTTAATCCTATAAGTAAAAGTTAAAAAAAATTCAGTGGGTAAAAAAGTACGCGCAGTGGGTAAAAAAGTACGCGCAGTGGGTAAATAAGTACGCGCAGTGGGTAAATAAGTACGCGCAGTGGGTAAATAAGTACGCGCACAAAATAAAATACTTACCTTCCCTACAATATGTACAAACAGTTCCTGTACACGACTCATATGATACAATCCCTTTATTGTGCTTGCAATCAGTGTGTTTGGCCCAATTACAGCCTTTGATAAGCTTACCATCACAATTTCCAGTAGTACAATGTTTGTGTTTTGATCGGTTCATAGACTTGGTTGTTCTCTCAGACTCATTATCACTATCCAATATAGCCTCATCATCAGCAGTAGCTTTAGTCTTAGCCTTAGCCTTATGTTAAGGCTTATCTATTGGTCTAGTTACTTTCTTAATCTTGGCAGCAACTTTAATGGCTGAGGTGTCAATTTGAACTGGCTTTCCCTCTTTGGCCTAATTAGTGAGTGCAAATTCAACATTATCGCTGTCCGATGAAAGTGATGACATACTATCATCCTCAAATGCACTCTTCTCCTGTAAGAGTTTCTTTACTTTCTTGGCCCTCTTTGTAGTCTTTGCTACAACTTGTTTCTTATTAATGGTCTGTTTAATTTCTGCTGCTTTTTATTTCACCGCACTTTTTTCAGGAACTTTTTCCTCTTCTTCATCATCATCTTCTTCCATGTTTAACTCCAAACACATCATTTTAGTTCCCCTTTCTGCCCATGAACTAAATGGTGCTTCAGCTAGAGTGAAGGAGCACTTCTTATAGAAGTTAACAAGATCGGTGACACACTTGCTCAATATTAATCCTCCCTTGAGTTATCTAGCTTTTATCATTTCCATTAAAGCAAGGGTATATTAACCCAGGGTATGTCAAGCAAACTTCTTCAATCTATGCTGCTTATTAGTTGCCAATAAAAAAATGAATCCTATCACATGTTCACCGATGATAAACATCTTGTAGACTAGAGCACATGCTATCTCATTATCTGCAATACGGATTAAAACATCCCTCCTAGCCAGATCTTCCTCACTCAACTTGTTGGACATGTTCAGCTTAAAGAACTTTAAAACATCTTGAGACTTTAAATCTCCGTTGTAAGACATTGTTTTAAATCTTCTGTTGAATTCTTCATTCCGTATGAAGTATTTATTTATGTCGATTGTTCTTGCGTCTATATCTGCATCATTCAGGGTTTTTGAAATCCTGTCTAACTCGACAGAGTACTTATTCCAATACTCAGCTGACATAGTTATCAATATGATAATTGTTAAAGATTTTTGATCTTAATAAGATCTCATATATTGAATTAATTGCAAACTATATAAGGGGTTCATAAATCAATCATTATTAAACAAAAAATATATCTATGGATTCAGCCGGACCACCTAAATTCAAGCCCTTTCCTAACTATTATAAGATGAGGGCTGCTTAACTTCCAGACACTGAATGGCTTTGCAATTTGTGTAGAAAAAAGTGTTCGACTAAGGATTTTAGTGAGACTTTATATTTTTGTAGAGTCTGCAAAAATTATGAATGCATTGGTTGTAAATCCAAAGATGTCTGCAAAACACCAGAAGAAATAGAAGCTGAAGCAAAGAAAAAGAAAGAGGAAGAAGAAAGAAAAAGACTTGAAGAAGAGGCTGAAAAAGCAAGGAAACAAGCTGAAGAGGATGCCATTAGAGAAGCTGCTGAGGAAGAAGCCAGAAGATAAGCTGCTGAGGAAGAAGCCAGAAGATTGGCTGAAGAACAAGAGAGATTAAGATAAGCTCAAGCCGCCGCGGATGAAGAGACTCGGTTAGCAGCTGAGGTTGCACTTGCCAGAATGTTAGAGGAGCAACAATAATAAGAAGCTGAAATGAAATTTCAGAGAGAATAGCAAAGATATGCCTTTGTTGCTAACGATAATTCTAAGCTGAAAAATGGTGATCCGCTAATTAAAATATCCAAAAAATTTAAATAAATTTCTGAGAAAATTAATGGAAAATTTAATCTTTGTGACTGTGGAGTCAGAAAGATTCTATTGAAAAGTACATTTAAAGAATGCTAAAAGAAATATCAATTCAAAATAATAGAGGGCAAGGTTAAAACTTAGTGCTTCTTTAACAACATTTTTGATTTAGTGCATAGCACTTCGACAATGGATAATGATAATCAAACTTTCATTTGCCCTAAATGCAATACCATCACATGCTTTGACTGTGAGGAGCAGGCTTAAGTAGAATTTACTTTCTATATTGACTATTTCAACAAAAACTAGAAGTTTATGAAGCAGCATGAATTGGATTTACACAGGGCTTCCCTAAAAATAAATGCTTGTTGTACTGAAAATACCATGAAATAAACTTTAAGGCCGGATATTAACAACGATTAATGCAACATTGACCTTTACTAATAGGGTTATATTCGTTGTTCAACTGGACTAGATACATGCCTTGTTTACTCAGCGAAAAACGATGATGAAGTGTTCTATTACAAACCAAATTCAAGTTCTGTTTTGTGCTCAAATTGTGTAACCAAAAAATAGAATGATAGGATTTATCTCAATGTTTAAAATCTTACTTTCAAGAATGTAATTTAAGATCCCTTGCTAAGACGGCTAGTAGATTTTGCATCCATATTGGACGAATGTGCGAGCTGTTCTTTCAACGATAATTTGGAACTTAAAGAAAATGAATCACAAGAAGTGTAAGAATAATCAACTCTGAGAACATTGGGGTCTGATTTTCTTATTAAATCTATTGATGTTAGCGAATAAAATAAAGTTTACACAATTCTTAGAAAAGATGAGAACTTTATTAAACTGATAAGATAAAACTCTGGTAAATCATTGATTGAACATAAAAAAGACTAAAATAGTGCTTATGTTTGCTAATTATGCTTTAGTACATATTGTTTTAAGTGTTTCCTTAAAGCCAGTCATTTACAAACTTAATTAGAAAGACTTAATCAGACTGAAAGGAATTAGTATAAACTTGACAGGAAAAATCATTAATTTTCTTTGTATAATAGTTCAGAACATAATGAAGATGGCTATCTTGCTGATCCAGCCTCGATTGCATTAAAAGAAAGAATTAAAATTGACTTAATAGTCGAAATGCAAGCATGCTTCAATATTTGCTCTTGTTTTCTTTACTATAAAGAAAAAGGTGTTAAAACCAAAGGTAGTCCTTAAGTTTAAACAGTATGCACTGGGAAAAACTTACATAAATAAAAGCAATAATAGCCGCATACTACTCTCAAAGTAGAAGATGATAATTTCGATGTTTCATATTATGTGTGTCAGCAATGTAACAATGCTTATTGTGCATTTTGTGTCATGCAATTAAATGATATTATAAACACTAGAATAGTTGATTCTTTTGTAGAAGAGAGTAAGGGTATATTAAGAAGAAAAGTTACTATGCCTAATCACTGCTGTTCTTTCAACAGCATTTGGAAGCCAAAAAATAAGGAACAGTATGATGTTTGTAGCAGAAGAAAGGAAGGTTGTGATTTCCTTACCATCGATAAAAGTTCTTTCTTTAAGGGCTTGTGGTATTGTAGTTAATGTTAATCAAGATATTGTCATAGTTGTTTAGATATATAAACTGATCTGCGCGATGGATAATTTTAATGCTGTGGTATTCCCACTATAAAGATGGATATCAATTAATATCTCCTTCATAGGTATGCCTAGTCTACTTTAGAAATCACTGGAATACAGTGTATTGGCTAAAGTGACCCAGGTAAGATGTTAACATGCAAAAAAATAACAGGCTAAAGCTAATATATTGTTTACTGCAGTAAATGTTAGCTTTACTGTTGTGCAGGATGCTAACGAGAAAATGAATTTACTTACAAATGTAAATGTGATAAAATTGTAAGTGCCTGGGAATTTATCTTAGTTAATAGCAGTCTTCAAAGATTGTATGAAACTCTTCATGGCCATTCATATAAAGATAATCTAATCTATAAACCTCAATAATGCAATGATGTTTTGTGTACCTAATAGGACCATGATGGAGTAATGGAATGTTAGCAGTGTCTAAGCTAATTTTGCTTTTCGGATTATTGGTAATATAGAAGAACATATTTACCCTAAACTAAGCCATCGCCCTTCCATGTTGGCAGCCTTTCTTTTTCTCTTTACGATGGTCTCTTTTTGAAAACTACATATTACTAGCTCAAGAAATAATCACCCTAGAAATTCAGTGCAAATAAATGGACTTGTGCTCTGAAGGGTGTCAAAGGATGCCTTGATAAACAAAAGTTTTGGAACTTTTCTTATCGTCTTTAAGAAGCTGAAAACACGGACATTAACCATTGCAGTGAGTGCTCATATTCTACTTGTTATTCTTGCGATAGCCTTTATCCTAATAGTCATCAACATAAGAAATAAGGAAATCTACTTAAAGATATTAAATCTATGCACACATAAAAATTAGGTTTAAATTCTTACTATGATATTTATGCATTCTAATGTGATGGTGAGTAAGAATAAACTGATTGTAAATAGAGTGAAAATTTCTCAAGAGATGAAATCCTTTACTATTCGGAAAGACACAACCTTTTTATTTGTTCTGGATGTGCTAATAAGTACTCAAGTAAAGCATTAGATAATCAAGAGACAGAGAAATCAAAATTATATTCTGAAATCGTCAAGACGTGGTTTGGAGTATTTGAAGAAAATGAAGTTTATACTAAATTCTATATTAACAAATTAGGCTTCAACGGAAACAAGATAGTTGGTAGAGGATCATTGGATTCAAAATAAGTTTTAATTACTGGAGAAATGAATGGAGAGCAAGTTAGACTTTAACTAGTTGTTGACTCCAAAGAAATACTAACATTCACTGGTGCAACTCGCTTGTTTTTAAATGAAATTTCTGGAATCTGGACATCATCAATTAGTAAAGGTAGGATGTCATTCTATGCACTGGATCCTAAAGACCCCAGATATGAAAAATAAATTCCTCCTCCACTCTAAAATTACACCTGCCATCCTCATCCCCTAACGCGTGTTAATTTTTAGAAGAAGACAAAATACAATTGCACAGGATGCTAAGATAGTGTAAATGAAGCATCTTAGTATAAATGTGGGCAATGTAGAATTGTCTACTGCTTCAAATGTGTTGATAAATATGAATATTTATGCGCAGATGCTCTCTCATTTATTAAAAAACCTGCCAATTTACCTTGGATAAAATGTAATAAGTGTAGATAAGAAATGTAAGAATATTGGTCAAATGAAAAAAATTTTGATATCTGCGAGCCTTGTAGCTTAAAGTATATTGGCTTGTTACATTTAAAAGAGAAAGTAATTTAAAAAGAAAAATAACCCACACATTGGTTTGGATGGTTCTAAAATGGTGATCAAAGAATTCCATTTGAATACACTAGCTTTTTTATTAATGGAGGCATTATTAGCGGATCTGGATAAGGATCCACAATCACAGGTACTAGAAGTTATTCCGATGTTTAATTCACACAACTGATGGAAAACGGAGCTTCTATCTTATTTAAAGGAAAGCTTGAAAATGACAACAGAATTCAAGGAGAATGGTCAAATAATAACTCAAGCGGACTATTTGTTATCACAGATGCTATTCCTAAAGGGAAAATTTGGAAAGGTTACTATGAATTTGCAGGAAAGTACTACGATTTAACTTTTACTGGCATCTCTGTAATTAACAATCAAATTACTGGAAAGGGAGAGGATCATATAGGTTATCATTAAATTAGTGGTTCAGTCATTGACGCTAAAATTATGATTGATCAGACTCTTTCAAATGGAAATGTTGTTAAATACTAAGGGATGATAGAAGGATCCTAAAACAATGGTACATGGACTTTAGGTGCCTATTCTGGAGCTTATGGACTTACATACTATTGAAGCTATTTCTAATTGATTGATTTATAAATCAATTATTTCAGTTTAAATCATTCGACTTTATCTATTATTTTTAGTATAAGGGGTTTTGGGGTTTTGGGGTTTTGGGGTTTTGGGG